CACACACACACACACGCGCGCGCGCGCTCACAACACACACAACCAACCAACAAACATATGTTGTAGGTGGGGGGAAAGAAAAAACCCTATTTCTATCATCCTCTCTCTCTCCCCGATTGGAACCGTGACACAAGAGATGAAAACCACCTCTCTCTCTCTCTCTCTCTCTCTCTCTCTCTCTCTCTCTCTCTCTCAAGCTACTCTTCTCCCCAAAATTAAGCAGACCATCATTTTCTTTTTTTCCCCCTGTTTGAGCAGCATTTCTCGCAGGGGGGGGTGGGAGGAACCGAAACTGCAGATGAGAGAGATTGACGGAGTGAAGGTGCTTTCTTTTTTTCTTTCGATGGTGCCTTCTGTTTTTTTTTTCCCTTTTCGCCAAGAAAATGGAGGGAAGGTGAGGGTGACTCGTCAGACAGCGACATCCACAACTCTTTTCCCTTCTCAATTTTCTAGTTTTTTTTTTTTCCCCTCCAGCCTCGGTTCTATAACCCCCCCTCAACCTCTCAAGTTTTGTTTTATTTTTTTTTACCATTTGTCGATTTATCCTTGCGCAGGTGCCATCTTAACCTTCTCTGTATCGTTCCAACTTCGACGTATGTCCTAAAGGACTGACCTCAATTCTTTTTTTTTTTTTTTTTACGTCACTTCATTTTATTTTTTTGAAGGTAAGGAGAAAAGTAAAGGGAGGGAAAAAAAAAAAAAAAAAAAAAGTAAAGGGAGGGAAAACACCTAGCCAGTATAATACTCCTTTCTTTGGGAAGAAAATTGGGAGAAATGAAATTGGGAGAAATGCGATGCCGTTTCGGTTCATCAGGCAGGAATCGAGTTGGAAATTTTGGCTGACTGATTGCGCACACATCCAAATTTGAAAATTGACAAAAAATAAATTTCTTTTTTTTTAGGTCAAAATCGGTTCGACTAAAGCCCACACGCGCCCGCAAAAAAAAAAAAAAAAAAAAAAAAAGCAAATCAAACGCGCTGCAATTTTTTTTGTCCGAATTTACATCGGGCGGTAAAAACGATAATAAAGTAAGTGTCAACATAATTACAATTCTCTTTGATAATACTACCTCTAGGTCGTAAGATTTAACTTTTTTTCGTTTTCGAATTTTATTTTTTTTTCGTTTTCGAAATTTAGGGGGGGGGGGAAAAGCTCCTGATAAATACAGTAATAAGCACATAAATTTACATAAAGGGTTTATACGATGAAATTTGACCGATGCAGAGAAAATTACCATGGGCTCCGCGCAAGGATGACGCAAAAACAAAAAAACAAAAATTGAGAAACGGTACAAAGTTTGAGAAGTATATAAAGCCTCCTGAAGATTCAATGAAACTTCGGTGAAATGTCACTGCCCCTCGTTTGTTGTGCTCTTCTCCCTCTCTGCCCGACGGTTCAGCGTGCAGATCAGAATTTATGACAAACATAATAATTTATTTTATTATATCGTCATAAATTCAGAAAAGGTCCAAAAATACATTTATGTTGCTTATGTAAACATACATAAATATGCTGTCAAACACATATATACATACATATAAAACGCAAATATATAAAATCCATTTTAAAAACTCTACAGATTATTATATAAAATAATAAAATCAAACAGAGCTGCCCGGTAAACCGTAGGCAGAGGGGGAGCGAGGGAGAAGAGGACAACAACCAAGGAGGGAGGGGCTGTGACAAACTGTTTCGTCGGAGTTTCACCGACTGATATAATCTCATATACATAAATTATAAATAGAATAAAACTCAAATATATAAAATCCGTTTTCAAAACTATATCAATTAATATATATATCGTCAAACAGAGCTGCCCGGTAAACCGTAGGAAACCGTAGGCAGAGAGGGAGAAGAGGATAATACAATATATTGTCACAAAAATATCAGAGCGCAAATGCGGAAAAAAAGGAAAAAAAGAAGAAAAGAAAAACAGGGAAAATTGAATTCAATTTTTTATCTTCTTCCTTATAACTCCTATAGATATATATTATATATTTATACATATATATATTAATAATATTATATATTTATACATATATACTAGGCTACCAGAGTGGCCCGGGGTCACTTGCCCGGCCGGGCCAAAATAATAAATAAATAAATAATTAAAAATATATATATATTTGAATTTTATTTTTTATTTTAAATTTGGTGACGAATTTCGATGTGACCCTGAGGCAAAAGTTGTTCAGTTTATTTTTCTGCATAACATAGTTTTTTTTCAGTTTTTTTTTTTTTTTNAAAAAAAAAAAAAAAAAAAAAAAAAAAAAAAAAAAAAAATCTGGACTCTGGACTGCCTCTGGTGGAAATGGTGGGGAGGGCGGTGACATGGTGGAGGACAGACTATGTACATGCCTACCACGGCGTCTAGATACGTTGTTGAAGAAGTTTTTTTATTTTTTTTATTTTTTTTGTATGGAAGATTTCTCTATTTTTGTGTGTCATCCTTGCGCAGGGGCCATGCTAATTATACCCTTCTCTGCATCGTTCCAATTTTAACAGATGTCCCGAAGGACTGAAGAAGTCATTTTTTTCTGTTCTTGCCGTTAATAAGGGGTTTTAGGCAGTCGCATCCAGAGGAAAAGTTAAAAATGGGCGAGGACACATATAAAAAAAAAAAAAAAAAAAACACTCCCACCCATTGGCTCCACAATCCCCAGACCAGTCACCACTATCCTTTAAGTTACCTTCTTTACTGCGACGCGCAGGCAGCGGGGGATAGCACAGGGGTAGTGAAATTGGCTGCGCCTAGCCAGAGCTTGCTGTTGGGAGTGGTGGGAGCGGAGAGGCGATAGAGCGCGTGGGCGCTGAGGTGGATACCGCTTCAAGGGGGCATGCTTCAAGGGGGCATAACCATGCACCTGCCATGACTGGTCTTGGCCGACGACAGTCGGTAATCCTAGTTTGACCGAGGAAGGAAGGGGGAGATGTGGGGTCGGTCAACGGGCAGGATCTGCGCGTCGTGCATATCAGTATTATCACCTGATCAGGGGCTTTGCCCTCTGATTATAGATACGGAACACGGTTGACCTGCCGGGGATGCAGTTTCATCTGGACGAAGAGCTAGAGGCGAAGGAAGAGAGTACATCGACAAACGTCGACTTATGGGAGAGAGAAGATGGACTTCACACTGCGACTGGTATTGCCCACCGATGCTGACAAAATGCTTCAGCCAGGGCTTCAGCCATGACTGGGTTTTGTCCACTGTTGCCTATACTCCTGCTTCGGACGTGGTGTTGCTCAGAACCTCCGGATCTTTGGATCTTTGACAGATTATTGATTGTGTTCACCATACTTTGTAGATTTTGTTCTGCGAGTGATTACGGTTGCGCTTCTCTTCTGTTACGGTTGTAAGTTCTTCATAATAATGGTGTTTGCAGCTGGCGATTCCAAGTGTTTAGTGCATAGATTGCCGACTTCGCATCTTGCTCGCAGGGAACACCGGCTTCAGGCACCTACGGTATAAACTATGATTTCAAATTGTTCAGATTGGTATTTAGGGTTTGACCAACCTTTACTGAATTTTCTTGCTTATTGAGTTTAAAATTGTTCTTGTTTCTTAGGGCTGTCAGTAGTAGTTAAGGTTTGAGCAACCTTTGATGGATTAGTCGTATAGTCTAGGCTACCAGAGTGGCCCGGGTCACTTGCCCGGCCGGGCCAAAAAAAATAAAATAAAATAATGAATTTTTAAATTTGATTTTTTGTTCTAAATTTGGTGAAGAATTTCGATTTGACCCTGAGGCAAAAGTTGTTCAGTTTATTTTTCTGTATAACATATGTTTTTTTCGGATTTTTCGGTTTTTTTTTTTTTTTTTTTTTTTTTTTTTGCTGGGACCTTACCTGATCCTTGCACGGCCTGGCCACCAGGGACCCGGGCGGCCCGGCTGGTAGCCTAGCATATATATTATATATTGCATAATACAGGGTAACCGGCGTTCGGGACGGGCCGAACGCCCGAAAGTAGGGGACCCCTTGGGGATGCGTTCGGCCGTTTGGGCAGAACGCGCACCCCAAAAAAAAAAATAATAATAATAATAATAATCAAAAAAATCTGAAGAAAAGATCTGTTATCAAGAAAAATAAATTAAACAAGATTTGCCTGAGCATTACATCCAAACTCCTAACCAAATTTGAAATAAAAATAAAATACGAAAAACAAATACTAATAATAAAAATAACAAGAAATAAAAAAAGAACTAAATTTAGTGAGTGCGCGAGCACGTGTTCGACACCGCCATCTTTGGCGATTTATCATTTTTTTTTGGGCACAGCTAAATGCCCTGAAAATTTACAGATGTGTACTTCACATAATGCAAAACCCACTAAAAAAGTTTCAAAAAATAATAAAATTGTTTAGACCCCGAACTGAAGTGAAAACAAAAAAGTAAAACGTGAAAAAAAACGTGGGCGAGCACGTTTTGACACCGCCATCTTTGGCGATTTTTAATTCTTATTTGGCTGAGCCAAACGACTTGAAAATTTATATTCATGTACCTCACGTCATAGAGAACCCACAAAAAAAAATAACAGAAAAAAACAATTATGTTTAGGCCCCGAAATATTTTTTTTGTGGGGGCCGAACGCCGTCGGGTTCGGACCCCGTACGGGACCCCGAACGCCCGTACGTACGGAGATCTGCCCGGGGACCTCCGTACGTACGGGTTGGCTGCCCTGGTATAATATATATAGATAAAACCATATAATCATATAGATATACTGTCATATACATAAATACATATACAACTCAGATATAAAATCCATTATATATCTATATATATCGTCACAAACAGATATATATATTGTCACATTGTGAATCAGAGCGCAAAAAAGGGATAAAATATATATATATATCGTCACAAACAGAACTGCCTGGTAACACCGTAGGCAGAGAGAGAGAAGAGGACAACAAACGAGGGGCTGTGACAAACTGTTTCGTCGGAGTTTCACCGACTCATATATGTATATATATTGTCACATGAATATCAGAGCGCAAAAGCGAAAAAAAAGAAAAAAAGAAAAAATGAATTCGTTTTTTTATCTTCTTCCTTACAAGACTCCCCCTGTTCAGAACCTCTTGCGTACACGGCCGCCCACGTGGATGTAGGTTGAGCGGCGGCTGCCCCCACCCCCATGTGTCATATCGACCCACTTGCACTCAGCCAAAAGGCAAAGAGGCAAAGAAAAGAGGAAGGGAACAGCCAAATAAAACAGAATATATATTTTAAATATTTTAAATATACATATATCGTCACAAACAGAACTGCCCGGTAAACCGTAGGCAGAGATATATATATATACATATATCCAGAAAATTGCATAATTACCGGTCTCGCTAGGTCCATACTTGGCCTCCCATTCCTTTCGCATCTCCTCTAGTGCGACATCCTCCGACTGCGCGTCGCACACAAGCCGCATGCCGCCCAAGCTCAACTCCAGACCGTTCAATTTGTCCACCACCTTCGCTCCCGCCGTTTCCGCATTGGTACACACTACACGGACGAGGAAGCGCGCCATTACAGATCTTCCCGCCAATTTTCGAACGAGTCCTGTGCTGCCACGTGTTTCCTCTCTATCTCTTTTCTTCGTCGACGACACGCCATCACCACGAATCTTCCCGCCAAATTTCTCCATTCCCGCGCTTTTTTTGTTCCCCCTGCTGCTGACGCTTTGGGAATACGAGAGCGAAGAGTTTCCCGCGCTTTTCTCCATCGTCGTCAATTGAAACTGATGACCAGTTAGCGACGCTTCACGGGAGATCAGATTGCGCAACGTCTCCTTAAGAGTCCATTCATCTATGGATTTGCTTGAGGGGTCAACGCGATGAATCTGCACGGAGACTGTGGCTTGATTCACGAGATATAGACCGCCCGCTGACAACGGAATCCTCTCTTCTCCGTCCGATTCTCCCTCTATGATATCATCTTTCTTCTCCTTTCTCTCCATGGCACGTCTCTCCGCTCTCGTCATCCCCATCGCCATGGTGGAATTCTGGCTATGGCGGTCTTCTTCTCCTTCTGCCTTCTCCTTCTCCTCCTAATACGCCTTCTTCTTCTTCTTCTTCTTCTTATCCTACCTTGGTTATGAAGATTCTCGAAGCGTGTACGAAAGGCAGTTAGCCACTGTTTCCACTATTCTTCTTATCCTACCTTGGTTGTCCTCCTCTTATTACTAACAGGCAAACCCCGTACGAGAGCTATGGGCGGTCCTACTACTACTGCTCTTCTTCTTCTTCTTCTTCTTCTTCTTCTTCTTCTTCTCCTTCTCCTTCCTTCGGTGTCCTCCTCCTGCCGCCAGCCAAAACGCTTCTGATAGCTATGGCGGTCGTCTTCGTCTTCCTTCTCCGCCTACTACTACTACTATTATTCCTCTTCTTCTTCTTCTTCTCCTTCTTCTTCTTCTTCTCCTTCCTTCTTCTTCTTCCTCCTGCAGCCAGCCAAAATGCTTATGATAGCTATGGAGGTCGTCTTCGTCTTCCTTCTCCGCCTACTACTACTACTGTTATTCCTCTTCTTCTTCTTCTTCTTCTTCTTCTTCTTCTTTTTCTTCTTCTTCTCCTTCCTTCTTCTTCTTCTTCCTCCTCGTACTGCGAAGAATGAGGATAGCTATGGCGGTCTTCTTCTTCTTCTTCGTTCTCCAACACGCGTACGATGGCTATGGCAATGGCGGTCTTCCACCTCCCCCTCCTCCTTTCCCTTCGCCTCCTCTTCCTTCTTTTCCTCCTCCTCCGTCTTTTCCTTTCTTCCCCTTCGATGCAGATCACGATGTCGATGGAGATGGCGGTCTCCTTTTATGGAATACTCGGAGATAGTTCTCTAGACCACTTGCTGATGGGGAAAAAGAACCGACTTCTCACTAACCACGATGATGATCAGTGCAGTTTATACTGTAGACTGCCTTGGCGCTGCCGCTGCTTCGCTTGCCAATTTGCGAGCAGCACTGATAACGATGATAATGATAATGATGACAATGATGATGATGATGATGATGATGATGGCGGCAAGTAGGAAGGGGCAGAGGAGGAGGATGAAGAGGAGGAGACGGAGGAGGAGGTGGAAGAGGAGGAGGACAAGGAGGAGGAGGAGAAGGAGGAGGAGGCGGTGGAAGAGGAGGAGGAGTACGATCGACAAGGAGGGAGGTGATGATGACAATAAATGGAGAGGAGGAGGAGGAGGATGGCGGCAAGTAGGAAGGGGCAGAGGAGGAGGATGAAGAGGAGGTGGAAGAGGAGGACAAGGAGGAGGAGGAGGAGGAGGAGTAAGATCGACAACCGAGGGAGGAAATCCTAGATCAGGAGGGAGGTGATGATGACAATAATGGAGAGGAGGAGGAGGAGAAGGAGGAGGAGGAGGAGGAGGAGGAGGAAAAGCAAAGGGAGAAAGGTGAGAGAGAAAATGACAACAAGAAGTAGGAGGAAAAAGAAAAGGCGGAGGAAAAGGAGGAGAGGATAGTGACAACGGCGACGAGGAGAAGACCGCCGGCGATTACCCTTGAGAGAGAGAACCGGGAAAAGAGAGAGACGATTAGGTGTAATGAGACAAAGGACTAGCGACGAGGAGAAAGATAATCAAACGGTAGATATTAATATGAGATTCGCTGTGGCGAAAAAATGTCCGAATATAAAAGAATAAACGAAGAAAAAGAAGAAAACGAAGAGAAAAAAAAAAAAAAAAAAAAGAAGACGAAGACGGATCTGGATGGATATGGTCGTGACGAAACCGATGGAACGGCTATGTCATCTGCCGCCGATGAACCTTGACAAACAGTGGAACTACTGCCACGTGTCAGTTATCCCCCCATCTTCCTTATATGTATCATCAGCGATGACAGCAGTCCTCTGCAGGACATACCATTCAAAAAGCAAACAAATTAAMAAAAAAAAAAAAAAAAAAAGGGCGAAGGTCACCCGGAGTAAAGCAAGACGACCAAGGAAAAGAGTGAGGGCATCGCCACACCACTCTCGAAATGTGCGAAATGAGAATGAACTTCCTGCTAGAACATGGCCAGATGCACCCGCCACATTTTTGTCTTTTTCACATTTCCAGAGTGGTGTGGCCAGGCCCAAGAGCCCCTCTAAACATGTGCGCAGTGCCGTTCCAAGCAAACAACACCGAGCGATGGATCCAGAGACAAGCACACAGAGAGAGAGAGAGAGAGAGAGAGAGAGAGAGAGAGAGAGAGAGAGAGAGAGAGAAGACTTTAGGATGAAAGGCTTGGTGATAAAGATGATAGAAATCAATAGATACGAAGACGAAGAATGGCGACGTGATGACCACAGGCACAGAGAGAGAGAGAGNTGATGACCACAGGCACAGAGAGAGAGAGAGAGAGAGAGAGAGAGAGAGAGGACTTGAGGATGAAAGGCTTGGTGATAAAGATGATAGAAATCAATGGATAGGAAGACAAAAATGCGATGCAATGGGATGACCACAGGCCTAGCTATGGCTATGGCGATGGCTATGGCTACCGTTGTTGGGGTAAAGAGAAGGCTGAATAACCGTCACCCTCCTTGGTGCCATCATCATTATACTGGACCTCGCCGCACTACTCACAAAATGCACAAAAGACAAAAATGGCGGTGCATCTTTCCACGTTCTAGCGGAAGATTCATTCTCATTTTGTACATACATTTGGTGAACAGTGCGGCGAAGATAGTAGAGGGTTCCTGCAGCTCATCCCACGCACCGCTTTCTTCACTTGCACACTCTTTGCACCTAAGTCCTTGCAATTGGGGAACCCTATTCCACGACAGTCCTTGCAATTGGGGGACCCTATTCCACGACAGTCGTTGCAATTTGGGGACGCTATTGCACGACTGTTCCCCGCTCTAGACAGCTAACAGTAGATGGAAAAAAAAAAAAAAAAAAAGGATGGTTGTTGATTAAATACTGGAAATGTGTTCTCTGATGAATGTATCTTATCGCAATTACGACCAGATTCTTTCCCAGAGTCCCTGTGTGAGTATGCCTGCGCTCTCTCACTGGCGTTCACAGGTGGTCCCTCCGCACTGCCGATGGAGCCAGAATTTGCACAGCGAGCACCACTTCTGCGGTGCCTAGAAAGAAGCGGGGGTACAGTCTATGGCCTCTGTTTATCACTATTCATCTTCTATTTGACAGTTTCAGGGCACACTCGCATTAGCCCTTTCCAAAATGCATCTGCCTCTGATTACCACCACACCTGGATGAATCTGGCCGCGATCACGTTCAGAGCTTTATACAAAAATCCCTGCTGTGAGTACACCCTTAGGTACGAGAGGTGCCCTTCTCCTCTCTCTCACAAGGACAGCAACAAGTCATGCCGCCTGTGTGCCCTTCAAATTTTTCAGACACAGCGTGCCGCGAACAATCTCACAAGGTAGGAACTGGACCTGAGCTCAACTTCACTGGAAACAGATGAGTAAAATACTACCATTTGGGGGACGTGGGTTTAGGGGTGCGCGGGGCAATGTGACGCTAGGCGGCGTAGCACGACAGCCCATCGCTGCTGGTGTCAACGCAAGAATTGATGATGTCAACCTAGGCGGAGATCGCCATGCTCGGCTGGCATTGACGGCTTGCAATGGTCATGGTCCTGCATGGTGGGCATGGCCATGTCCGGCGTCCAGTCAGCAATGGTTGGGTGTCGACATGCAGCATGTACAGGGTGCGCGGATATCTTTAGCGGTGCGTCCTCTTTATACGCTACATGGAGCTATGACCAGGGCACGGTTTGTGCATCTGGCCCCAGATGCGAATTCAAGAAAAAGACTTTCACTGTGTAAAATTTCTGCAAATTGAGCAATTGATCTATCTAAATTTGGATCTATACATGGAGCATGTTTTGGCATCTTCTATTCATATGCTCACCGTCGTAGACGAGCATGCACTATTGTTGGAGCTATTTTGTGGCGAAGCTGTTAGGCTTGGTATTGGTGCTATGCTCTTTTAGCCTACTTCACTGTATTTTCTTTGTGTCATCTTCAGCGTTTGTACTTCGCTGCGCCTTCACGTGGAGCTTTGTTGTGCAGAGCAGATAATCAAGTTCGCGTGGCTCTCAATAACTTTACTCATGGTTCCTTGTTTAGGGCCCGGTTATACGGCTCTTCGACTCTCTTGGTGTTGGCAGTTGGTTTGTTTAAATCGCTTTTCACGATGCTCCTGGATTCTTTCGTTTATACGTAAGTTCACTCTCTATTGGGAAAGAGTGTCACGGTTGGCGGTTATCCAAATATGTGTTGATGGCGACCAGGAGTTCTTTAAGCAAGACTTGAACTAAGGGTCTGCTCCCTATACGGAAATAGAGTGGGTCTCAACTGTTGTTGTGGGCAATCATCATGATCACCAGACCAACGGTCGATCTTCTTTGGGTTTTCGTATGTTGTGTTAATATGTAAGAAGTAAAGTAATATCGTGTGTCGTGGTTTGGGTTGGATAGTTGTCACCGTAGTATTGGTTTTCCTTACAAAGTTGAAAGGTAATTAAACTCTTTGTTGGCTTTTTTTTTTTTTTTTTTTTTTTCACGGTTCCAATGGATTGTTGGATGATGCTAGGTTTTTTTCGTGAATAGTGGCAACTTACATGTTAGATTTTGGTTAAGGATTCATTTTTATTGTTGTGGTTTTTAATGGCGATTGGTCTTTTAGGTTGATAGGGTGGGTTTGGATATTAGATTTAAGTTCACAACTTCGCTTTCAGTATTCTTTGTCTCTGTTAATTTGCGGTTTATGAATTTTCGTTGAGTATCTTGTTTTTTTGGAATTCTCTGTTATTTTTTAGTTTAGGAGGTATAAACTTTCGTGAGTACTTTCTGAAACTCTTTGCCTTTTTTGGTTCCCAAGCTAAAAACTTTCGCGAGTGAGTATCTTATCTCTTTAAAATTCTCTGCTAATTTATAGTTTATGAGGTATGAATTTTTACGCTTTGTTTAACTAACTGGTTGGTTTAACTTAACATCTTTTTTTTGTGCTTGTGTGTGTTTTTTTAGGCATATCAGGGATTCTTGTAGGCTTTATCAGGATGAAGTTCGATTAACTTTCTTACTTGTCATAGGAAGAGGCTCGGTTTGAGGTTTAGGATTTGAGGTCAGTGGC